GGTGGCTTTCGTGGCTTCTGTGGCTTTTGGCTTTCTTGGCTTTCGTGGCTTCCGCGGCTTCTGTGGCTTTTGTGGCGTTTGGCTTTCGTTGCTTTCGTGGCTTCTTCAAACAGCCACCAGTCCATCTTTGGAGGAATGTGAAGTCCGAGGCACAGCTACCAGATGTAAGACGGTCTTGTTTTCATCCAGACGATGCCTTTGGTGGCTTTTGGATTTTGGTGGCTATTGATGACTTTGGCTTTCGGTGTTTTTTTTGCCTTTTCGTGGCTTCGGCTGGCTTCTGTTGGCTTTTCGTGTTTTCATTCACTGATATGGTGTAAATATGCCTGGCTGTTTGCCAGCTACGACAGCTCCCAAATCTGTCTACCTATCCATCCATCTGTCTATATCTATCTATCTTTCTATCTGTCTGTCTATCCATTTATCTATCTCTATTTCTTTCTTTCTTTCTTTCTTTCTCTTTGGCAGCTGTTCTCCTTTATTTCTCTTTTTGCTTTTGCTTTTTCATTTGTTTGCTTTGCAGAGAAGAAACCAAGCAAGGAAGGAAGGAAAGGAAAGGAAGGAAGGAAGCAAGCAAGCAAGCAAGCACGAGCTGCTCACCTTTGGATCTAGTGTGCTGCTGGGGGGGGCGCTGCGCCCCCCCCAACCCCCCGCCCGCACCACGAAATCTGCACTTCATCTCCGACACCTGCGCCTGCCACGAAATCTGTATTTTGAGGTGAACTCCCTGGTGCGACAAATTTCTAATCAAGCAAATATGCCTCCTGTACTAGTTCTCTTTCTCTTTGCTGTTTCTCTGCTAACTGCACCAAACTGTTGTGATAAGTAGGAAATTCTCTGACACCTACACTATTCCAATATATTTTGTCAGCCACGACAACTCCGAAATCTGTCTACCTATCCATCTATCTGTCTATATCTATCTGTCTATACCTATCTGTCTATATCTATCTATCTATATCTATGTATCTATCTGTCTAACTATCTATCTATCTGTCTATCTATCTGTCTATCTGTCTATCTGTCTATTTGTCTGTCTGTCTGTCTGTCTGTCTGTCTGTCTATCGATCTATCTATCTATCTCACACGATCTATCTATCTATCTATCTTTCTTTCTTTCGTTTTTTCTTTCTTTCTTTCTTTCCTATCTACCTATCTATCTTTCTTTCTTTCTTTCCTATCTACCTATCGATCTGTCTTTCTTTCTTTCCTATCTACCTACAGTATCTATCTATCTATCTACCTACGAAATCTGCACTTCAAGGTCCACAAAGTACTGTGCCTGCCACGAAATCTGCACTCCAAGGCCCACAAAGTCCTGCACCTGCCACGAAATCTGCACTTCAACATCCACAAAGTCCTGCACCTGCCACGAAAACTGCACTTCAACATCCACAAGGTCCTGCACCTGCCGCGAAATCTGCACTTCAAGGTCCACAAGGTACTGCGCCTGCCACGAAATCTGCACTCCAAGGCCCACAAAGTCCTGCACCTGCCACGAAATCTGCACTTCAACATCCACGAAGTCCTGCACCTGCCACGAAAACTGCACTTCAACATCGACAAAGTCCTGCACCTGCCACGAAATCTGCACTTCAAGTCCACAAAGTACTGCGCCTGCCACGAAACACCAAAAACAAAAAAATCAAAAATAAAAACAAGAAACAATCCTAAATTATATCCGAGCCCCTAAACATCTAGTAACCAAATCATTCGTCATTCGTACGTGCGCTTCTTCAAGGAGAGTTTTCTTGAAGAAGCGTGAACTATAAGCTACTAGAAGCTATATAACTGGTCGCCCTTACCGAGTTTGAGTAGGAGCGGGCTTTAAAAACACTTCCAAACGGCTTAAATGTCTAATCTTTTTGCGTTTTAGTTGGACCTTTATGAGACCTTCGGGAGCAGGTGGTGCTCCACCTTGCTGGAGAGTGGTGCCCCGAAGCGCTGCGGCAAGCACCGGACCAAGTCCGCAGGCTAAACGTGGATGCTGCAGGCAGTCCAAAAGGGGACTGTGAACTCAAGGAAGAACGATGAGTATGGACAACAAGTGAACCCATTTCGATTATACTAGTAGTATTATTGTGCAATCAATATGTTTGACGCACAAACTGGGTGTTTTTCCTTTTCCGAACAAATCAAAGCAACTCTGATAGAGCCACATGTCTTTATATTATATAGTTCCTTTGTGTCCGAAAAAGCACCTGTTCAACAAGGACAATGGGACCTCCACGAAGTCGCCCTTTGAGTGAATAGTGAACATATGCAAACGGAACTTTTTTGGTAGCAAGTGCATCGCTACTAGTAGCTTCTTGCTACTGGTAGCGACGCCCTTGTTACTAGTAGCGATGCCCGTAGCTACTGGTACCTTCTTGTTCAACTCGCACCTTGCCACTTTGCGTGAACTGAACGTGTTGGTCCAAGTCCTGTGTATGATCCGTTCAGGCGCAGTAGCAGCTGCTTGCGAAAAGTTCAAAGCATGGCTGGTCTCTTGCTTGCATTGAACAAGTCAGATGCAAGCAACATTGTATTTTGCAAGCAATTGGAGTGGCTCTTCTTAATGTGTTGCAGTTGTTCCAAAAAAGCTACAAGGCTGGAAACAACAGAAAAGGGCTTGAATCAAGTGTGTGTGTGTGTGTCTGTGCCAAAAAATGTGGAAATAGAGGACAAACGCCTAAAACCAAGCTTTTGGGGGCACACTCCATTCGTTTTCATTCTTTCCTTTAGCTGCGTGTTCCGAGGAGCTCGGGCGTTCACAACTTCCGCTCGCGCCTCGCGCAGGTCCACATGAGTGCAGATTGTGTTTTCGATGGGACAGAACCTCCCTACTCCGTGGAGTCCAGAGCAAACCCGCTCAGTGAGTACGGTGCCTCAACCTGAATCAGAGGGCAAAGCACAGAAGGAATCCTGAGGTTTCTCTATTAAGTTTCCCTATGTTTCCCCAAAAATCTAGGAACCAAATGAATAATGCAAGCGCTTCTTCAAGGAAGCTTACTTGCTGTAGGTACTAGCTACCTAGCTACTACTACTACTAGCTACCTATATACTATATACCTTGCAACTACCTCCCTCTACGGCCTACTCCACCCCTTTAAACAAGCGATACTAATTTTTTATACTCGCAACAAGAAGTGCCCCACACTGTCACCCAATCTTTCGCAGGTTGGCATAAACTCCATAGCGAACAGTTGGTGCAAGCTGCATGTCCAAAAGCGGCGATTCTTCGGGTGCCATTGCTCTACGGTCCAGTCGAGTCACCATTGGACTCTGCTCCTTGCCGAAGAGAAAACAAGTAGCTTTCTTGTTACTAGTAGTAAGGCCAGGAGCCCCCAGTAGCGTCCTTGCTCCTAGTAATTAGCGATGCCCTTTGTTACTAGTAGCTTATTTAGTGAGTCAAGTCTTTTTTTAAAGCCGCCCGAGTGGCCCTGCTTCATTTGCTTGGCGCCTGCTTAATTGAGTAAGGGAGGAGTAAGCTCAGGGCGACTAGTTAGCTTCTAGTAACTGGACGCAGGATAGCTAAAGGAGGCGGAGGGGAGCTTCCTTGAAGTTATGATGTACGCTAAAGCTAGTTCTGATGACACAGCAAAACATAAAAAATGCATAAACAATGCAAAAATAATGCAAACCAATCCCGAAACAAATGCACAGAAAACGCAAAAACAAGTCACCAAAGGATGCCTTGGAATGCAAAAAAACGCAAAACAATTGTGAAAAAAACGCATTTGTCCATTAAACCAATGCAAAAAACGCACAAACAATGCAAAAAAATAAAAAAGGCAAAAAAATGCAACAACAATGCACAAAAAATGCAAAACCAATGCAATCAAAAAGCAAAACAAATGCGATCAAAAACGTTCTGGTCTTTGCCTTTGCATTTTTTTTGCTTTGTATTTGCGTTCTTTTTGTTGATTTTTTTTGCACTTTTTGTGCGTTTCCTTGAGAAAACGCAAAAACATCGCAAAACACAACGCACAAAATAACGCACAAAAAATGAAAAACTGCAACAAAATCGAACAAAAAATGAAAACCACATGCAAAAAAATCGAACAAACAAAAGTGGTGTGTGAAATTTGGTTGTGCATGTGCATTTTTTTTTTTGCATCTTTTTTATTTTTTTTGAACTGCTGTTCTGCTTTTTTTTGGCTTTTTTTCTGGCTTCCTTTTGCATTTTTTTTTTGCTTTTTGATATGCACTCTTTTTGACCAGCTGCCTTTTTTTAGCTTTTTTTATGCATTTCTTTTGCATTTCCTGGTCATCCTTTGTGAGTGTGGTTTTGCAATTTTTTTTTTTTTTTTTTAAATGAATCCTTGAGATTTCAGAGTTAGGCTGTAAGGTACATCATAACCTTGAACAAGCGCTCGCACTAATGATTTGGTTCCTAGACTTTTATATACGAAAATACAGTATTTGGGAAGTCTTGCAAAAAAACAGAACAACAAAGTGGCCCAAGAGCGTCGGGTATTGGGTGAAGCATGCTCATTCTGAGGCTGTCACTAGCCTGTACACAGATCTTCAAAATGACATTCGCAGCCTTGCTGCACTTGGGCAGTTCAAGCACGTTGTCACATGGCGGTGCAGTGACAATGTTCGAGTTTTGCTCTTCTGTATTCTTTTCATTCGCCTCCAGGTGAAGTGGACGCGTGGCAGCGCTGCTATCCAACTTGGGCAGGAGATGTAGCCAATGTCCTGAAGGTAATGACCGAGATGCATTTCTCTGGAGAGCGAATTCAAGGCATCTACCACTGGCAAGGCAAGACTTTACTGCTGCAGAGAGCATACTGGGGAAGAGAATCAGACTAGAGAGAACACGGGAGCGGGGAATTTGCAGTTTTGTTATGTTTTGTTTGCGTGTTTCCGAACTGTTTGATTGTTCAAATCTACACACCCTGCCAAGGGAATGAGCAGTTCACCTGGCATGTGCACGCCTCAATGCCTGGCATGCTTGCCATGACAGTTTAGTTCGAGTATGCATGGGACGTGTGCATATCCTTTTGGTGATTCACGCTTCCCAAGGAGATGATGTTGCTTGTTGCAGAAACATCTGGGCTGGATGCGTCCTGCATTTCTGCAGTGCACAGCCCACCTGCGACACCGCTTCCGCGTGATACCAGGCAGCTTCCTGAGACATTGCACGACTGTCACTGTTTTCGATTTTTATTCATGAGAGATTTCATCCTAGCTCTCAGAGTCAGTGAGCCTCGTAGGCATGAATGAAGTGAAGGGATGGGGTTGGATAGACAATGGCAATGGTGAGGGAGAGAAAGAGGATGAGGGAAAGGGTCGGGGGGAGGAGGAACAGGAGGACAAGACAAAGGAGGGGGATGATTCGAGTGATGATGATGATGACGACGACGACTTTTGGTAATTTCTGGTTCCAAGTTCGCAATCGCTGCTGGAGTGTTCCTCTCGGCCAACCATTGAGCACAGACACTGTCCCTCACTTGTATCAACATTTCCAGACATAATGTTGAATATCGCCAGACTTAGGCCATTCTGTCAAGGTCTTTTGCTTGATCTGTGAATGCCCTGTCGGAGGACAAAGCAGGGACCGCCCTGTTGGCTCTCACATTGAGAGAGGCCCATGCAGTATTCTTGACAGGAGCGCCGAGGAAGAATAACGATGATGATGCTGCTGATGATGAGGATGATGATAGTGACAATTGAGCAGGTGGACCCAATGCTTTTGGATCATCCAGTGTATATCAACAAGTGACACAAGAGACTCCATCATGACCAAAATGGCTGCCTCCCTGGTTTTTCAATGTGTCAACGTTCTGAGCTCTGACACCACTGTGACAACTCCATTCTTGTTTTCCCAAGGTTGGACTGCTCACGGCTCATTCGCCTTTTGGGTCCACAATGCTGCCACACTCCTTTGCATGAAGGCCTCAAGCAGTGCTTGACACCATTCCGGCAGGCACGGCACCGGCACCGGCACAGCAGCTGAGTAACCCTCCTGCATACTTGAATACATCAGCTAATTTTGTTCACCCGCCAATGATTTTACAGGTAGTGGTGTGTTTGGTTTTTCGTGACTTAAACGGTGCCCGCCATTCAATAGGTCAAACCAACAATGGAAACGGATCCCCTTTCATTTGATACGCGTTGCTTCCTCAGGAGGAATTTGTGTACAAAGCAAACCTTTTGCGCTTCAAGTAGCGCTGTGCAGCTGTAGCTTCTAAGTCGTGTTGTCACTTAACAAACGTTCTCACACACCTCAGCGCAGTGTTCGCGTTGATAGAGGCCATGGGAACCTGCCTTTGATCACCGGGTCACCAAGCACATTTTACTGTATAGTATAGACATAGTTCTAGATATATGTACAAATGTGCAACTTGTTTGAACACTTAAACAGTAGCAAATGAACACCTTTTCTAAAGGCGGTGTATAGCACCTGTGAGCATGTCATAGCCCTCAATTCATGGTCAAGTCACTGGTCAAGGGAGAAGCATGTGCGATGTGAATCAGGCTCCACCTGCGATGGCTGGCCGCATTGCGTTCAAGGGCAAACCCAGAGCAGAGTGGACAACATTGACAAGGGCAGCTGAGGCTGACATTATGACCTTTTTAAAGATGTCCCAGCACATGTGTGAAGGAGTGGAAGAAGGTTTGCCCAGATACTGGACAAGCATGTACAGTGCCACGGTCTTGGGGAGTACTCATGTACATTTGTGCCCAACCCCCGCACCTGATAGTTGGGCTTGACTCCTGCTGCGAGGCTGGTGCTCGCAAAGCGGCTCTTGGCGACTTGAAGGGGCAGAATGCAGTTCTGCAAGAAATCTTCTGGGAGGATTTCTTTCTGACAACACTTCATACCCTTCAGACGTATTCAAGATGTCAACCAGTTACAGTAACTATTAATTAATTAGTTTTCCTGTTCCTCTTGAAACGCCAGTGCATGACATCAAAGCATGGACCAATTTTGCCGGTTTGCAGGAGCTAGAACGCACCAGAGCTCGGCTTCAACAGGTGTGCAAAGAGTCCAACACAGTGCAACTTTTTTGACTCACAGCGATTCGGTTTGGAAAAGCTCAAGGCTGGTATCAATCGAAAGCGATGTGCCGAAGAGAAGGCGATGCATCAGAATGACGAAGATCGTACATTTGGATGCCAAGGAGAGCAAGCATTTCGTTATGTCAGTTGACACAGCAAAAATGCTTGCAGCATTACCACAGGACGACTTGATGAGCAAAGAGTGTGAAGAGTGAGAACATTCCAAGCCCAAAGTTTTTTCAAGTCATGAAAAATCATAGAACATCCATTTGCTGCAAATTTAGCTGTTGTTCAATGGTACAACGGTACAACGCACACACACACATACACAGGCAAAGCATGTATCACTACGAGCAACAAGAACCGATGCGTACTCTCTTCCTCGCAGCCCCTATTTGTATGCCGACACACTCTAAGTGAGGGTGCTTAATTCGTCTGCAGTACGACAGAAGAAGTGCAGAAAGACAAAAGAGTTCCAACCCTGCTTTCCAGCTTGAGCGGCGTTTGGACCAACCAATGAGATAGATTAAGACAACATATTCTGGACACGTTCAATCTCTTGATCACGGCATTATCACTTTCCAGCACCCTGAAACCAGGATGTGGCCGAAGTATGGGGTTCTGCAGCTGCAGATCTAGAACGAGCACTGACCAAGGCAGACCTGCGATAATTACTGATGGCGCATATGCCTCGAAAGAACACATTTTACAACGAGCCTTTCGGCTTTCTTAAGGGCAACGGACGCTACTAGGGGCTCCTGGCCGTACTACTAGGAGCAAGCGCATCGCTACTAGGAACAAGAAAATGGACAGTGCAGCGCTGTGCATCCTTTTTGCGATTGTGCCAGGTTCGACGCGGGGAGCGGATTGTGAGGCTTTTTCAGACTGGGCCTGGTCAGGCAAGCACGATACGACGTGATTTTCGCTTGTTTGGTTTCGTTTTTTACATGTGTTTCTCGGAAAAAGTGAAGACATCAATACGGGCAGGATTCAACGTTCCAGAAAGTAATCGGCCAATTGGATCTAATTGGCCTCCCTTTGTCTCCAGGGCACTGGTGATAGTGGAGCTGCTGACTTGGCAAAGGCTGACGGCTTTGAGGATGCATGTGCCGACACTTGAGAGGGGACGTGCTCTTGTCTAAAGAAAACAAACAGAGCAGTCCTGTGGGAGGTGTACAGTATAGTATAGTATAGTATAGAATAGTATATATAGTTATATAAGTCCGAGCCTAAGGTGAGCATACTGGCATTGATGTCAGGCCTTGGTGGACTGTCATGGGCAGCCCAAAGGCAACGGTCAGGTCCTCGAGGCAGCGTTTGATCCAAAGATAGATAGATAGATATAGAGATAGAGATAGAGACAGATAGATAGAGATATCAGATAGATAGAGAGAGATATAGATAGATAGATAGATAGATAGATAGATAGATAGATAGATAGATA